ACGGAGCATTGTTCCCACAGGACCGATCGCCGATGGCCAATCGTTCCTTTCTACTTTGCCAAAGGTGGCTCAAAAATGTCTTCCCTAGTCTGTCTACAGTTGGCGCCCGCAGTTAAGAAATATTTTGCTAAGAAATTGAGGCTCACTTTTTCACGAAAAATAAGAAAATAGGGTTAAGAAACATAGCTTAATCTGGGTCACACAATAAGAAATGTCTCAAAAAGATAGGAAGGGAGCGGGGGGCGCAAAAGGGTGACAACCCCCAATGTTCGCGTCACGGAGCTTGCATCATAATAACGGGGTAGTTTTCGTTGTTGGGCACGTCAGCGTGCGGGTGAGGCATCATGTGGTGTTGNGATAGGAAGGGAGCGGGGGGCGCAAAAGGGTGACAACCCCCAATGTTCGCGTCACGGAGCTTGCATCATAATAACGGGGTAGTTTTCGTTGTTGGGCACGTCAGCGTGCGGGTGAGGCATCATGTGGTGTTGATGCATTTGTTTAGTTTCAGCCNCGTTGCCGCTGGATACATTTCGCTTCTAGGGAGTGGCCTTACGTGCAGCCGTCGGTAGTGAGAATCGGGGTTGAGTACGGGGGTCGAGGAAAGCAGTGCAAATCATTTGTATGTATATTTGGAACGTTGTGTAGTATGCAAGCAGAGAAATAATAAGAAATTGCCGATTTAAGAATTTCAGCAGGATTTGGCTGCTCGAAAAAATAAGAAACTTGAAATAAGGAACTGAACGACATACGCTGAGTTTATAGCCCACAATGAGAATTCGAGGCTGGACCTGAAATATATATGCGTTTCTTAACTGCGGGCGCCAATTGTATCCTAACGATATCCCTTCCCGCCTTTTCAACCCACCTCCTATGCCCCACTACAGCTACCGTCCTTCCTCTCTATTCCATGCCTCGAACAAATCCCTGCACGTCCCATCTATTTTTCCCAGCTCAGTCACGTTCACTTCCCTATCCTTCTTGAGCCACGGACACTGCACGACTACATGAACATGGTCTTCGCATTCGAAGCCACAATCACATTTGAACTCGTCGTCTTCCTCGCCTACCGTCCTATGTCTTCGTCGACGTTCTCGAAGGCCTACGTCCCCGGTCCTGAATGTGACCTTCAGCTTTGTTCCTGCATCCATTGGTCCATGTAGGTAGTGCTTGAACCCTATTCCTTCCTTCAACATATGGGGGGGTGCCTTGTTTTGTATGAATTCCTGGTTCAATTTTGGTTGAAGACCTGCATGAATTTTTTCATTTTTCGGGCTCTCTTTGCTTCGTTTTGCGAAACGTAAGTCCTTGAGCCATCTCACCCACTGCTGCTTGACTCACACACGATTGTTCTACAGACAGGCAGGCCCATCCGCAACGAATTTCCATCGCTTCGAGGAGGAAAACAACATGATATCGTCGGTAATGAGCACAGTGTGCGCCACCTGCGGTGGATGGACTTCTTCACCACATCACGCAGCTTGATATGAATGTTATGTGTCGTGAGGCGCCACGCGTCGTCCGTAGAGCTCAGCCTCCAACCATTCTTGTTTTTTGCGCGCTCTCCTCCGTGACGCACACAGACAGACCCTCCGGTCACAGAAAGAGAGAGAGAGAGCGATCCAGCCACCAAATCTCAATCGGAGTTGGATCATCAGTCGGAATTCGAGCGAGGTGTATGTAGACTATAGAATGGTTTTGTTTGCAAGCAGCAGCATCGTCACTTGGTCATGGATAGAAAATATTCGTCTCAAATTTCCATTCCTCCCGCCCCATAGAGAATCGGCTCGAGTCAGAAAGGAGCGCGGGGTAGAAAACACTCCCGTCGCGAAGTAAACAAAGATAAACTATGCCCTATTTTCTATCGATAAATTTATCGATGTTCATGCATATACCGACGATAATATTGCCATCCCATGGCATGACGTTTCCACGGAATCGATCATCCATGACAGACATCACACGATTGCAAATACTAATACTACCCACAAATTGCTGCTGTTTTGTTGCCGCCAAAGACCCACCCACTGCCGCTCGCTCCGCAAGGGCCTGTGTCTATGACAGTGTAGCAGCAGCAACCAACCAAAGAAGAGGACAGCAGAACACGGGATCGATTATGTTTCCCTCTTCCTCCCTTCAGACTTGCACCTTCCTCCGGTCCGCTCGCACCGCGCATGGTGACCCCCCCCTCCCTCCCTCCCTCCCTCCCTCCACGCACGCACGCTGAGGTGACTCCCTACCACGTAGCAGACCGGAACGTTTCCGGCTTTTGTTGGGTTTGGTCAAGTTACCCCACCAAATTCTTTCGAACCGAAACACTTGGGTGAAGAACATACCACTGCCCGACAGCACCCAAATACTCCCGCACCAAGCGGCAGCAGCAGCAGCAGCAGCAGCAGCAGCAGCAGCAGCAGCAGCACACCATAGGTGAGAGGTGTCACCAAAAACAATGTCGACACGCATCAAAATTAAGAAAACCAAGAACATTGACGCGCGTTGACTAAGCCACTCATCCTTTCACACACAGCACAACCAAAAAATATAGCCACCACAAAAAAATTAAACCGCACCGTCAACGTGCCTACTGGGTTACACTGGCCGCCAGTATTTGCACCACACTTCTGCCGAAACAGTTTTGAACCGCCAAACATATGAGACGCATTCCACCAGATTGAACTGAACCGTCAATATTTGCACCGCACCTCCACCGATCGTACTGAACCGCCTACAGTTTAGGGCCGCATTCCACCAAGTTAACTGAACGGTCACCAAAAAGAAAACAGACCCAATCCACATAATAGACAATATGTTGATACACAAAGCTGGCGGCGTGGGAACCACGCGAAACAAAAGTCACAATATGCGCCACCCGGACCATAGAAGAGCATGGGATACGCACACACACGGTCAGTCTTTCTTGATCTTACCCCTATCTATTTTGTGTATCATAATGATAATGAAATCGGACCCCGTGTTTTGATCGTACTACACTCCGTGCACACCATACATGGTCAAGTACTACATATCGCGGTTCCAGCCCCCGCCGCTTCTGATCGAATTGTTACAAAAGCAGACCCTCCTTTTCCCTCCATCACAAAAGTACACCCTCTTCGTTCCATCACCCTCCCT